ACCATGACCTAATGCGACCACAGCTCTATAGTACATAGGGATATCTTTCTCGAACATGCATATGCTTCACCCAAAGGTGGATAACTGGCTTTCCCGAACGATCTATCGATATGTATGTCATGTGATGGAACATGGATAAGGATTTGGCCCCCATCTTTGTAGGTCTACCATCACACACAAGAGTCACACAGTTCGTCGGCTCACTCATCCAAGCATAAACTCCGACCTCATCAAGGGCTAACTCAAAACCCTTTTCGATTTATTCTTTATGCCAGGTATATTGAGTTTTCCAACCTATTGATCTAGATCGTCAAGTAAAATCTGGTATCAGCAAACATCATTTGCTTAGTATGGTCAACGAGGGACTACACTCCCATTGAGTTTATGTTCCACTATGTTTTTCACTACACACTCGTAAGGCCTTTAAAAGCCACATAAACCCAATACAGACCACTAAGTCTACTTTCTCTCATCTATCGCCTACTGGAGGTACCACTAAGCACCATCAGATGTATTCACTCCAAAATCTACTCTTTTTTGTCTTGCCATCCATCCATCTCAAATCCTCATCCGAGCTTATACTCATGTAATATTGGATCAAGATTCATAATAGAGATGTGGCAAAAGCTTTATGCTAGCTACCAACCTAACACAGCCCACCTCCATTTGCTTCCAGGCTTGCGACAGGTAGGTAATAGTAGAGTTGCCTTGACTAACGATCATTTATTTGTAATAATAATAATAATAATAACCATAAAATCTTCTTTTTGCACCCTCTACTTTAAATGTTCACTAATAAGCCATATCTACATCATTTTGTAAGCTTTTCAAGTGTATCCATCTTGCGATATTTATAAACACCAAAAAAAATTTCTTAGAATAGTCACACCCCTACATTCTAATTTATCCTCAAAGATATACAAAATAATCCATTTGTTCGTTAATTTAGGAAAAAGGGGCTTGAAATGCCACACTTTGGCAAAGTTACCCAAAACACAAAGTTGAAAACATAATAATGAAAGTCGGATATTTGATTTACTTTTTACTTGCTCCTTTTTGCAAAGACACTTTGCCTAAAGCACATAATTGCACGCATGTACTTACACACGTGTGTGTACGCATGCGTAAGATGAGTAGTAGAAACTAAAGGCACTTTGCGGAAAGAACTTTGGTCCTCAACAAAGGGCTTCAATTTTATGATTTTGGTGAATCAAAACATTAGTGATATCCCTCAAGAATGACCTCGGTGTTAGTGTAACAAAACTTAGGTCCTAACAACTAAGCAAAGGGTATCAGTGCCATATTTTAGAGAGAGAACGATGTAAAGTTTTGTTTTTCGTAAGGTTATAATAAAATGAATTAGAGAGAGAGGGGAAATGACTTGTATATCATGTGACCATGTATTTTTTAGTACAAGGAACTCGTAACTAACGTAGCCATTGGATGTGAAATTTGACATCTCAAAGCGTGTCACATAGTTTGAGAAATTTTATTTTTGATATTATGTATAGTCAATGACACGTCTCCAGTCATCCGATTTTATATCTAATGACTGATAATGACTGCTTCTCTTGTATCAAAGATAAATAATCTTATTATATACATCGCTTAAAGGGAATTACATTAGCATTTGGAAGTAAAATAGCAAGTTCCATAGCGATCCAAATTTTGCTATTGAGGGAGCATGCACATGAAACTTTGCTATTGAGCACATAGTACATTTTGAGTTTGTATACATCTGGAAGTTTGAAATGCCCCTCAAGATCAAGAATATCCTGAAATAAGTTCCTAAGGGATTATGTATACAATGTGCTCCGGCAAAAGCATGCTATCCATTTTGTATAAAGGGTGACGCTTGTTAAAGGTTGCCTCCTTAAGGCATACCTGTAAGATTTGCATAGAGATGCCCATTATGTGTCAAAAGGAAAATTGTTTCGTCCGGGCTGGACCGCATTTCTACAATATGCGGTCCAGAGGTATAAAGCATCCATCTTAAAGATGGATGCAAATAGGTGGTCCTTTTAAAACAATTGTAATCAACGGTTCAAATGTTTTTTTAATATAATTATTATTTGTAGTTTTCAATTTTATTTTTTTTTTCATATTCATGATTTGCATGTTAAAATATTATATATTTTCTAAAAACCAAGATCAAATTATGTTTGAAAAATATATTTTTTGTCAAGCTCGTATTTCTATAATATGCGGGCTGACCGTATATAAACCATATCCATGTCAAAAACCTTACGATGGATTGAAAATCTTATAAAATTTAAAATTTCAAAAATAATATAGATCAATAAATACTTAAAAATCTTGAAATTAGACAATTCAAATAGCTTGTTACATGATGCACTGTTTTTTAAACCGGAAATTTTCTTTTTTTGTAACCCTTGAAAATCTTGGCATTTACCTCGAAGGTTAAGAAATTGGTAATTTGACTTTCATAGCATGCCTTTATACACACCCTCTCGAATAACATTAGTAGTTTTTCATGTGGCAGGGCCTTTCTTCATCATGTTAGTTTTCATGTGGCAATGTAATGATCAACTAAACTACCAAGAATTTTGGACAAAAGAATTCCATGGGAGTTAGGGTGGCAACGGGTTCGGGCTAAGGATGGCTTGAGCCCGGCATGGACTTTAGAGGCCTCGAGCCTGGCCTAGACTAGAGGAACCATGCCCTAAGCCTTGCCCTATTATTGAGCTTGGTGCCCTGGGCCAGCCTTGTTAATGGATCAGGTCAGGCAGGCTTATAAATATTAATTTTCTAGTTTTCTAGATTCATAAAAGAGAAAGAAAACAGACCGGACTGCGCTGGGCCATGACCCCAACCCAAGCTTGGTCCTGTCCAAACACTAGGCCTAGGTTTCATGCTCCAGCCCAGGCCTGGCCCTTGGGCCAACTTAAGTGGCACGGCCGGACTATTTGGGGCTTGGCCATCTGATCCATTACCAACCCCAACTGGGAGGAACGTCGAAATCACTTTATTGATTGCTGTCATATAATGAAGGATGCCTTCCAAATTAGGAGTTCTAAATCAAGGGAAACGAGAATGCCTAAAACTAAAACCAAGGTAGATGAAGGTTTTGCTAATTCGAGACTTGTTGATTCGAAGAAGAGTAAAGAACAAGGTCCTGAGAACCACACAAATGATAAATATTCTAATATATAGCAATTATTATTAATTAATACTGAAATAACAGTAATCTGAATCTTAATATCGAGTAATATAATTCTTTAAAATTGTAATATAATTCCCAATTATTTTGTTGAATAAAGACCATGTGAAGCCAAGGTCCACATAAATGTGCACGCAATTCCAAAGAGGATGTGTTTTTAATTTATTGTGTGAGATTGAGATCTTCCCATGTTATGTTGGCTGGCTCAGGAGACTTTTGGACCTATGTTTTTGTTTGCTCTCTCTCTCTCTCTCTCCTCTCTCTTTCTCACCTAAACATACAATCGTTTAACGCGCAAGCTCTTCTACTCACTGACTACTGTTCCCACCCTTCTCTCTCATCTCTGAAAAATCTCTCTCTCTCTCTCACTCGGACAAACCAGCCGGGTTACCCAGAACCGGCTCATGAGTGGGTGTAGCCTAGTTTTGGTGATCAAGGTCTTTAGTTTGAAAAATTTTATGAAAAGTTATTAAAATCTAAATAAAAAATTATTTGTATTGTATATGTTTTATAATATTTTGGCCAAGATTGGAAAGTAATTTAGCCCATAAATACTTATTTTTATATTTTTTTTAAAAAAATTATTTTTAAAATATCGCTAATAACAAATTGATTATTTAAAATCTACTTTTTTACTACTTTTTTAAATGTTTTGTATAAGTTTACTTTAGACCTATTTTTTATATTTTTGGGGATATTTTGTCATTTTTTATTTTTTAAATACTTTTTTGTCTACCGAGTGCTTGGCCGATTACCCAGACAATTCTGGCTTACCCCCAAACCCAGCCCAGGTTTTTGGGCTAGGTTGTTTAATCCTACATTGCTGCTTAGGGTTGGCCACAGGTCAAGTTGGATCCGGGTCTGACCAAACTGGAACCCAAAAATATAACGTGGGACCCAGACCTGGACCCGACCGGACACAAAAATTAAAATAACTATGTATGTTTGGGTAGATAAATAATTATGTATTTGACTATATTCAAATATATTTTATATATTGGGACTAAAACGTATCACGGGACCCAAACCCGACCAAAACCGATGAGTCTCGGATCCGGACCCAAATAATGTTTGGGTCCAAGATTTGGATATAGTCAGTCCCACCAAGTCCAATTTTAGACCTATACCCGCATTGAGCCTACCCCTCGGTCCCCGGATCCATTGCCACCCGTAACACTGCTCCCTCTCTAAGTCGGAGGCTGACTTTCCATGGTGCATAGGAGAGGGCATTTATAGGCTACTTTTACTTGGTGCACTGGAATTTCATTTATCTGTACATGAAAATGGAAATTCCTGTGGGGTACTACGACATAGCCCTCTTGAAAATCATTTTCCATTACTCCATTGAACTCAGAGTAGTTTACGCCTTGAAAACGACCATGTTAATTGGTGCCCTCGCACACCCCCTCCCTCTACCATAACATTGATGCGATATTCAATATGAAAAGAAATAAAATAAGCACAGGGAGAAGGAAAAAAACCCACCCCACGGTAAATCACCATTGCCCTTTAACTCTCTCTCTAAGAAGTGTCAATGGGCAAGCGTCTCTCTCTAAAGTCTCAGTGGACAAGTCTCTTTCTCCAAGCCACCCATGTGCAATTGTAAACCGATACTTTTAACCCTCCACGGCTCTGTTTTCCATGAAAGCAGCTTCCACCACGTCTCTCTGTAAAAGTTCAACTCTTTTTCTGAGAAAAAGTCTCGCTCTAGGACAAAACGCCTTAGCAAACCTAACATAGCCATACCCAACATCTTTCTTATCGGTTTTGCAAAATGTCAAGGTCCTCTCTCTTTTTTAATTCAAGGATTCCATGACAAGTATTAATCCCACAACAATACAGGACGATTCTGGCAACCTGGTTTTAGGGTGAGAAAGAGGCCAAAAAACCGCATTAAAGGTTCTAGAGTGAGAAAGGTGCTAAAATCCCAGCATACCCACCAACCACTTTCCACTTTTAAGTATCCAATGATCTTATACAACTATATTTTCCATACTCATGGAGTACAGATCAATCTTAATGTTGTGCAAATACATAAAGCTACCTCCTTTTTGGCTTCACAGTGTCATGGGTGAATTGGGTAACCAGGATTAAAGAGTGCCTGTTATTTTCTCTCTCTGCCCACTAAAGATTTAGCTCTCAACAATCTGTTCTCAGTACCCATTGTCTCTTTCTCTCTCTTGAGTCGGTGTGTCTGCTACCTGTTCCCCATTGGGGTTTTCTCTCCCTACCAATTGTGAGGTCAGGCTTTGGTGAGCATTAATGGTGGTGGGTCATCAGAATTTGACATTGAAAGCTCATTGTAGAGTGAGAAACTTGTTTTCCTAGTCTTAAGTCAATTTTTGGTTCTGTTCTGGATCATTTGTCTGGTTTTCTGGTACCCACCTGCTCCCTTCAGTGACCTTTAGTATACAGGGTACTGTTTAGTAAAAGGTTTCTGGTTTTTTTGGCCCTGGTAATGATGATCCATGAGGACTTTGTGGTGGCCTTATAATGCAATGGAGGTCGAAATATGTAATTTTCATTGAAACCCATTTGATCATTTGATCTTTGGACTCTTCTGTTCTCCATTATTGGGGTTTCTTCAGAACCCGTTTCACATTAGTACTGCTAGTACTATTTGTCTTTGGCTTGCAGTGAGGTGCGTTCGTTGTTTCTCTCTCTATAATGTCCTTTCTGTTTGCTCTTAAATTGGGCTCCTTTTATTTGTTGGTGGGGTTGCATTCTTCTCTTAGTTCTATATTTGCAACTTATTTTGCGGAGGGTTCCTGGTTTTTGTTTAGAATCTGATAGCAATAACGTGTTTCTCTCTCTAGAAGCTCCATTCCCATTGCAGTCTCTTTTGGCCTTGCTGGTTATGTAGTATTATTAACTTCTATGGAAGTGAGGTTTCTCAGAATCTATGGGAAATGAAGTGAGAGAATGCTCAGAAATGGCTGTTGTGAAATGCAAGGATTCTCTCTCTAGATCCTCAAATGCAACAATGTTGTCTTCAAGGCATAGACACGGGCGTTCAAAGAGGTAATGTGATGGCACTCGCACTGCGTTCTCTCTCTTTGGAAGTCTCTCACTCTGTTCTCATAAGCTGCTGAGTACAAATTTTAAATGATTTACAGGAAGGGATTAGGAAAAACCCTCAAAAGAAAGGATACAAAATGTTATGGAAATATATTGTTTCAATGAAGAATGCTCAGAATTAGAGCCTACTGAAAAAACTTGGTTTTGGAGAAATGCTCAACCATTTCTCCTCAAAGCGAAGTAACTATTTTTCATATACCAAGAAAAATACTTGAAAGCTAAATTAGCGTAATCAGTGTTATCTGTATTTACTTACATCTGTTTAATGACAGTGCTCCTCAAAGCATATCAAATGTGGGTATTCCAGATTTTTCACCTGAGGCACAAAATCATCCTGGGTTGGTAAGAGTAAGACCCATTACCGTTTTGTTCAATTTTCTAAGACTTATACTTCTACATATTTTCAAAACTTTATGTATCTGTGAGTCTCGCAAGAAGAGGAAAATTGAAAAAACTATGTGCTCATGTTTTATTTGCTATTGAGTCCTTGTGTCTCTTACTCAAAATGTGGGTCCAATCCTGGGTTGGACCTGTGAATATTGTGATTCTCAAATGTCTTATGTGCTTTTGTTAATTTTTTGTCAATTCATTTTTGTGCGCCTTAGTAAAAATTTTAGGTCTTATATATTGTGTATGCTGCAGTAACTATGTCATTTTTTAAATTATGTATTTCTGTTCTTTTCATCTAATAGTCTAATTTGTTTACTAGGATGCGGAGCTACTTGATGAAAGCATCAATGTGAAGAGAAAACAATCCCCTACCACTGTACTCCAAAGTTCATTGAAGCAAGAGGTATGCAATTCATAGTTACACAAAGTAAATATGTGGGTTTGGTATGCCTGGTCAATTCTGAATCAGATAGAAGGTCAAAATGAGTTGCCTGCTGAATATGAATGATTTAGAAACATTAAATTATTTCAAAGTTAGGAATTGCTCTCTTGAAATGAATTGTGTTTTCGAAAGAAATTTGGTTTGTAAGGGTGTCAAAGTTGTGCTTTTCAAGAAACATGTATAAGTAGGCATGATTCCTTGCATGTTTGTAACTGTATATATAGAGGGATGCTAATGGATTTTATGGTTTTGGAATGGCCTTATCAATTATCATTTATGTTAGCCTCTTTGTGATGTCAAAGAAGCCAACTTTTGTAGTAGAGGACATGTATGATTTTGATCAAGTTGGGTTGTCGAATTCTTGAGAAGTAAAAACTCTACCTTTTTTTCTAATAACTTGTTCTCATGGGCGTTCTTAGAGATGTCATTAATCTGCAAAATATAAAGATGCATGTAATCACAAACACTTAGATATTGAGTATTTCCTCTTTTTTAGCCATTTCTTGGGGTTCAAAATTTTGCATTTCGGGGACCTCGTATTCCATGTCTTGCAAATCTCAGCTATATGCAAGTGTATTCTTAATATGATGGTTCATTCGTTCATTCTACCACATACTCATCAAATCTTATTGTATAATTAGCTTATGAAGAGGCTTGAGTGACTCATTTTAAAACTGAGTGGAAACTTGTTGCCAAAGGTGTTCAATTCTAATTATAGGAATAATTATTTGCTCTGCTCTGGAACCCAAATTCAGTCGATTACCCATTTAAAACTAAAAGAAAAACAAAAAGAAAAAGAAAGATGAAGAAGTTGCAGTTCTTTTGGATTATGTACTTCTACCATTTACGCTTTAATGATAGTGCCAATTAAAAAGAAAACAAAAAGACCAAGAAAGACGAAATGGAGATTTGCTCCAATTCATCTTTCCTCTATGGCCTGTTAACAATATGTTTGCAATATGATATTTCCATTTCCTTTTACTGACTTACTGTACACTTGATATGTTTTCTCCTTTACACAGATTTTACAATTAGAAAAACGATTGCAGGACCAATTTGTGGTACGAAAGGCTCTAGAAAAAGCACTAGGGTTTAGCTCTGCTTCCCATATGAATCCCAGAAATCATTCAATGCCCAAGGTAGTTGCTTTTGTAAGTTTCTTGAAATACTTTCATCCTTACTTTTTCAGAAAATGGTTTCTTCCTTATGGCAAAAAATGGTTTCATCCTTATGGTTTAAATGCACTCATGAAAACAAGCCATATTTGAAAGAAATTCTCAACATTTTGCAAACGGAGAATACAGAACTACAGATTACAAATTCACAACTTCTAATATGGGTTTTCTTTCTTTCATTATGGGTGTTGTTTCACATTTTTTATTCAATTAGCTTTTTAAAGCTTGAATGGAAATTTGTTTACAAATGGAAAGAAACTCTCATTTAGGTTTCTAATTGCTGGTGTCACTTGTCATCATATTTCGTTTTTCTGGATCATTGCCCTCTTTTTCTTTTCTTTTTTTGATGTGATGTATTTTCAAGACATGCTTGTCCTGTTTTCATTTGGTTTTTAAGTAACACCATTGCTAATTTTATTTTGAATGCAGCCTACTGAGGAGCTGATCAAGGAGATTTCAGTACTGGAGGTGGAAGTTGGGTATCTGGAGCAATATCTTCTCTCCCTATATCGAAAAGCCTTTGGCCAACATGCGCAGAGTTCTTCTTTGGTCACCACTGATAAAACTATTGACCCATCTTCAATTTCTCAAGAAAGAGAATTTATGCAAGTTTCTGAACTTAAGTTTGCACCAAAGAAAGCAAGCCTTGCAGTTTCTAGTCGGTCATTTTTGTCTGAGAATTGTTTCATTAATTCGGGAAATAAATTGGAGACTATTAGGATGACTGAGAAGCAGATAGATTCTAGTGTCCACCGTTGCCATTCATCCCTCTCTCAAAGATCAACTGGTTCAAAAAGATGGATTTCTTCTCCTATTGAAAGCTTCGTTAAATCTATACGGCCCTGCCATTCTCAACCTTTGTCCTCAATGGAGGTCAGTTATTATGTATTTGCTTATTCTAACTTGGTAAAATATCAGGACAGTACAGGGACACCTGCATAAATCATGAAGTGGACTTAGTTCCATAGTTTTAAAGGAGCATTAGACACGATTTTGTTACTTTGTTACTTCTTTTGCTCTGAAATCAGATATTTGCATAAAATGCTAGGCATTAAACAAAGATTGGCTTTTCATTTTCCTGTTCATAATGCTTTCATGAATGCACTTTTGTGTGTCCTTAACAGTGCCTAATGTTATCCTGCAATGCTACAGTACACTGTGATCCTATGGACTACGGAAAAAATCATAGTCTACAGGTCATCACTTCCAATGAAATGATGGACCATGATGGGGAAAGAGTGAGACCCACCAGATCAGGGCATGACCCCAATGGAGGGGCCTACACTTCCATCACAATCCACCATTCATCACTCGGTCATGATCTGATGGACTTTGATTCCCTGTTGTCGAATGGACCATAATATTATCTCCCTCAAAGTTACCATACTGGGTAGTATTATTTTCATGAATAGAGTATCATTTGGGACTATTCTTCGAGGCTTGCTATTTATCATGACATTCTTTTGAAACCTTGTGTACAGCATGCACAGTATTCAGATTCAAGCTTGATTAGCCTAGCTGAGCATCTTGGGACTTCTATATCAGACCATGTTCCCGAGTCACCCGATAGAATCTCGGAAGATGTGATAAGAAACATGGCTTCCATCTACAGCAAAATTGCTGAGCCCAGTCAACTTAATCTTGGCTTTTCATCTTCTCCCACTTCATCCCCATCTACAAGAAGCACATTTTCGCCACCTGATCAGTCTGATATGTGGAGCCCTAGCTGCACAAAAGAAGCTCCCTGTGATGTGAGGTTGACTAATCCTTTCCATATTGAAGGGCTAAAAGATGATCATGGGCAATGCAACACATTAGTAGAAGTGTCATCGATTTCTGTCGAGAGGTTGAGATCTAGTGAGGTTAAGAGAATGCTCCATAATTATATGTAAGTCTTCCTGGAGTCCAGAATTTCAATGTCTTTTTTTCGTGTTCTATATTTCTGTGTCAATTAACTTCTTTAGTTCACATCAACTGGTGTTAAATTATTCGTCATATTTATGTAAGCCTCCCATAGTCCATAACTTTGATCTCAATTTTGGTGTTCTATATTTTGTGTCACTTCCATCTTCTCATTATCAAATAGCTGAAACTATATTTTTTGGGCATATGTCGGTGCTTTTTGGGGTTCAATTTGGTTATTTGATTTTTTCTTCCTTTTAATTCCAATGAAAATTGGGCGTGTTATAATAAGAATGGAAATGCATATTAGAATCCATCTGCATAATCCATCAGGTCATCACTGCCCATTGAAATGATGCATGGTCATAGAGTGTGGGACCCACCATTGGGGTCATTCTCTGATTTCAACAGGTCCCATTCCTCACCATCCTTTTCATTGGACAATGATGGCCACAATGAAGTATGGTTTTGTTGTATATTCCCATTATATTTTCCATAATCCATTGTTATAATATATTTTCTTGATATTTCCTATAATCCATTGATGTATTATTGATATATTATGTTTTATCAATATGAATTACACAATGTTTGAGCCACATTCAATGGTTTTTTATTTTGTTGCAGGTTACTTGTTCAAAGGTTGGAGAAGGTTGATTTAAGTAAGATGAAGCATGTAGAGAGGCTTGCATTTTGGATTAATATACACAATGCGCTGGTGATGCATGTATGCTTCCAAGCCTGTCCTTTTTAGTCTTTCAAGCTGAAATTGTTTGTTGAATGTTACTCTTCTGTTGCATTCTGCAGGCATACTTAGCCTATGGAGTTTCTCAAAATACATTTAAAAGGACATCTCAGATTCTCAAGGTAAATTATGGTGCTGCTTCTAAAAATAGTTTCTTCTTCTTTTTTATTTATCTAAAGGATTTGCTTCTTTTTATCTATTTCTTTCTGTGGGTAAGCTGGCTTTGGAACAGATGATAGCCAAGGAGCCAGACCCCAATGTCGAGAGAGAGAGAGAGAGGGAGAGAGTGAAGTTGGCAGTGAAATAATGGAGATTATGACACTTCTATACATATGTGTATATTATCCAGGTTGCTTATAATATCGGAGGTCACAACATAAGTGCAGACATCATACAAAGTTCTATTCTGGGATGCCACATGCATCGTCCATCGCAGGTATATTTCTTATCAGAAGCATACTGTACAGAGTATGTGCATGGTACATGGTGCACATCCAGGGCATCTGCTCTCTCTTATCAGCTATTGATACTGGACATTAACTTTACCATTATAACCTGGTTGATCTCCATCATCCCGTTGCGGGGAACCAACAGTGGATTCCCGGCACTATCTTATGTTGTTGAAGGTGTAGATTCACTCCTTTTAGTGTCTTTCTTTTTATGTCACAATTACAATGAATTACCAAACACAGTAATCTTCTCAAACCTCACGTCATGTTTTACATAAGTATTAAAATGAAGGAATCAGTTACTGAAAAAGTTAATACTCCAGTAAAAGCATTAGCCTGGTTTTTTGTTCTGTTTTTCAGAATAATCATGTCACATAAGTTCATGTGTAAGTCTATTGACTAAATGAAAGGTTGACCATGTCATGTCTTATTTATGTATTGGAATAAAGGAATACAAGACTTAAATTATTATTTAGTCAATACATGCATTAGCATGGTTTTTTATCAGTTTTACAGAATGGTCATGTCATGTAATTGCTCAATAAAATTTGCCCCGATTTGATCATTTGATATCAGTGGCTATGGTCGCTATTATCCCCACGGACGAAGTTCAAGAGCAGAGCTGATCGGCAAGCATATTGCATTCAGGAACCTGAACCTCTTGTGTATTTTGCGTTTTCTACAGGATGCTTCTCTGATCCTGCGGTAATAATCTCAACCTATCTTGTATGCATGCACTTGTGTATACATGTATGTTATGTATATCTTAGTGACAATGTGTATATGTTTCCATTTATGTATGTATCCATGGACGCATGCATGCATTTGTGTTTTGGTATGTATGTATGTGTATCTTCATGGATGCATGCATGCATTTGTGTCAGAATCTGTGTGTATGTAGGTTTGTATTTTTGTATGTATGTCTGTGATGTGTCTTAGATCGATATTGCATTTCTCAGGTTCGTATATACACAGCTAAAAGAGTATATCAGGAGCTCGAAATTGCAAAGCAAGACTATATTCTGGCTAGTGTCAGCATTCGCAGGGAGCAAAAGATTGTTTTGCCAAAAATTTTCGAGAACTTTGCAAAAGATTCATATTTAAATGCATCTGGAGTAGTGGGTATGATCAAACAATATCTCCCTGAAACTCGAAAGAAGGCCATTCAAAGGTGTTTGAATGGGAGATCGCGCAAGATCAACATTGAGTTTTTGCCTCACAACTATGCTTTTCGGTTCTTAATTTCGAGAGAACTTGCTAAGTGATGCATTTGGAATTCTTGCAAAGCTCGAATTAACCTCAGGGGTCGACCATTAAGGGTTGCCTTTTTGATAGGGCATGTCCTATTCATTTTTGTAAAGAAGTGTGCATATGAATACAGGTGTTATAGTGAGATTTCAGTGTCTGGTCCTTTATGGGTTGTATTATATCAATAGAGGAGCTGGTTTCTGCAATTGTTGCAATGTTAATATGTTAATGGTGCAGCTTATGAATCTCTCTCTCTCTCT